TAGATATCGATATGACCCATCCAAGACGGTGCGTTCTGATTCTTCTGAGGTTAGACGCATGCGATTATGTGCCGAGTTCCCTTCGAGAAACGACTTGACAGTCTGGTGGATCACTTGGAGCGTCCAGTTCGGTTCGGCCTTCCTTAGACGGCGACCGACTCGCTCAGGTCGTTTTCCGCTTATTCTTTGAGGACCTGTTTCTACAAGTTCAACCAATGTTCCGCAGTGGTCAAATATTATCTTCCAAAGCCTATTCCAGTTGTCTCCTATTTGGTATCGTCTCAAGAATATCGGATCCTCGCAATCTCCATAGTTTCCGTCATGATTTTCTGGGGTAGCCATCGCATCTAAGAAATCTTGAAGTTGAAGTGGCTCCCAAGATTTTGAACCAAGTATCCATCTGAACATACGCTTAGCAGTAGCCAATTTTGGCGAGCCCGGGTCCAGACCGGCCGTGGACAGAATATGTCCGTACAGTTCGTCCAGCTCGGTCGGCAAAGTCTTCAAAATTCGTCTCAAATCCAGAAGACTAAAGCCCGAATTTGCTGTGTTCGTCATTCTTCCCAGGAGCTGCTCCAGAACCAGGCGAGCCCACAATGTCACACCGTCCGAGTGGTGGACCAGATATCCCCTTATTAAGCCCAGTTCCCGTTCCTCGTCAGGACGGAGAGAAACCTCTCTGCGCGGTACAAATTTGAGCCAGTTTGATATTTGACCATCGAAAGTGTCCATATCTTCTTCCAGTTCGATGGAGTCAAGGGCTTCGTGTTCTAAGTTCGTAGCCCTCGTCCAGATATATCGTATGGTGTGCAGGCCAGCGTCAATGATACGAGCAATGTCTTGGGTATTGTTTTGCTGCATCGAGATTTGAAGACACTGGCTGAAACTTTCCTCGATGGTAGGTTCTGGTCTGCTGAGAGCAATTATCCTAATCGATCCAGATCCTAGGGAGCATATCTCGACCAGGAGTCGCAAGATCTGCCTCTTTTTCAAACCGGTCTCGGATTCGTCCAGCCCATCAATAATAGCAAGCGTCCTGGAAGTCAGTGGGCTCTCCGATAGAGCTCTAAGCATGCCTTCCAGGTCCTTGATAGGCCAAGATTGAGACTTCCCGGGTTCATATAAGCTGTTCCACGCATTTCGGTAGTACAACCGAATGATATCGAACAGCTCTTCCCTTTGATGTAACATGTCGTACAACAACCCTCTCAACATTGAGTCATGGGCAACTCCGACTGTATGGTCACGTCTGCTGTAAAACCAATCGCAGACAGACCATGGGCCCTTCCCCTCATCCTTCTCTTCATGTGAATGACCTAGGAACTTTTGTTGAATGGTCTTTGCTAGAACCGATTTCCCGCTCCCTGCCTTGCCAGATATCCATAGCAGACCTCCGTCAGTTTTCCATTCTTTGTAATCTGAGTGTTGCCAGATCCATTGGTTGGTATCCAAGAATGCCTCCTGCACCTTTTCACGACGCGAATGTATATTTTCGAAGTAGAGCGTATTCAGGCATTCTTGTCTCAGTAGTTGTATGTTAACACTTGGCCGAATATAAGGTAACTCTGTGGGAGAGACACGAACCTCGGTATTCAGTGTGTTCATCAATGGGATCAGGAAGTAAAGCATTCGACTTTAGTTCAGATACCTGCTCCAACCCATATGTCCCCGTAAGAAAGAGCCGGGCGGAAGGACACGAATGGAAAACTTGTTGGAATGGTCCCAGACGGTTTTTCCAAGTTTCAATGTCAGCAAGGTGCATTGAGTCAATGACGAGGATACACAATGAGTGGTCGTTACTCGCAATGAGGCCACGAATGATCGAAATCAAGAACTCAGAGGACGATTCGTCGAGAAAAAGACTATCCATCTTTTCCCATTCTTCGAACGGTATCCACCCCCGCAACTTTTCCGAAGCTCGGGCCTCCGAATAAAGACACACAGCTGTGCTCTCTGCCACTGAACGCTGTGCAAGCCATCGAGAAACCGCCAAAATGTTATTCAAGCTGAAGATATCTCGAAGCCATCTTTGCAGTGGCGTTTCCAAACTGACCAGAAAGCTCGCCAAAGCATCTTGAGATGGATATGCTTGGCAAGCGAGTTGGGTGAAAAGGCACCATAGGGCAGGAATAGGGTTCAATGCTGAATTTCTCTTGAGCTGGAGTGACTGGATAAAGGTGAACGAGAAATATGCTTTCAAACACGCCTTTTTCTTCCATCTGTGAGTTTCCTGAAGTACTTGTAGGCCCAGATCAGATGGTAGCACCGTTTCTCCTCCTGTACTATACCAGACGACCCTGGAGGAGGTGGGTAGGTCATTATCGGTGAGCCAATTGCGGCCTTTGATCGTGTGCTCAAAGCTAGAGAAACAGTCTGTGTTCCCACTTGCGGTTCCCGAAAGCTCCATGTAGATCCTTCCGAATGCTGTTCCAAATTCTGAAATAGATTCGACAGTCGTGTTGAGACCTAGGGCCGTCGCTACACCAATGCTGGATAGGACAAGCTCGCTGACTGGATGCCCGGACGCTACAGTAGTCCATAACCGAGGAGGTGGGACGCGGCTTGTGATTATCCACCTCAAGCCTGGGAACTGTAACAATAATGATCTTAGAATCTGAAGTGCGTTATGGCTCCTCGGACCAGACGCCAGCTCGTCGATCCCGTTGATGACCAGGTATATCTTGCAAGATCTAGTGGACAGTTCCTCAAGTGTATCAGTCAAGGGTCCGAGAAACATAAAATGTTCCTTTTTTTCAGTTGCCGCTGACTCTTGGAACAGGTTGCTGTACTTTTGTCTTATCCGAGTTAGTAAATTGGTGTCCTGCTGAAGGAATGCCGACAATAGGCCCTGAAGCACACAAGCAATGGTCCTCTCCGGTCCGGCGCTTTGTTGGCAAAAGCAGAAAGCCACCATGGGAGGAGCCGCATTGGTAGTCCCCTGATCTTGCCCTTCCAGTAGGCGCAGCTGATTCAAAAGTCTTAGAGTGAGCAGGGTGTGGCCAGAACCTGTGACATCTTGAACCCAAAGAACCGGTGCGCCTCTTCCAGTCTCCCAATCCTTATATTTCTGTAGCTCAAAAACCCAGTCAAAACAATATGTTGAGATCCCAGTGTAAACACTTTCAAAGAAGAGTTTATCCGAGAAAGAGTTTATAGAGCCTAGACTTTTGAGGAATTCCGTGTTCAACTCGTTGACGTGGGAATCTCCTTAGAAATTGTTAGGCACTTCAGCGGCGGGTGGAGGATGTTGCATGAACGGAGGTTTATACCTTCAGATGAGAGGTTGAAAGTCACATTATTGACAAACTTGCCGGTCTGTATTCGAGCGTGGTCCCGGAAACGGCTCCCTGAAATAGTCGATCTTATATCTTTCTCGTCGGCATCGGACATCATGCACTGGCGATCTGTCGTTATGTATACCGTGTGTGAAGCATTATACACGACTCTGTTGCCACAAAGAAAGCAGACGCTGAGAACGTTGATTGCGTGATGTCCTCAAGTAGCGCGTCCAGATCAGGTAGAGGTGTCGCTGGCTGTGTCTTCCGTTTTGAAGGCGGTTAAAGGTTGGGTGTCTGCGATTTCTATTGGCCGTCTGGGTTCCAAATTGTCAGCCCCATTCGTTAAACTAGGGCTTGATTGCGCCTCACAGTCTTGGTTCTCGATCTCCATTACAACCATCTCCATCGAGCCGGAAATTATCAAATATGGTGAGTGCAATTCTTTATCTCCCCATTCAATGTTCGAGGTCAAGTTTGATATAAAGAACAGGCAGCTGTCATAGGAACCGCGGGGGCGATTGTCGGGCTACTCAACGCAGCCATCACTCTGGTGCAGCAAATCCGACAGGCGCGAGACCGAGTGAACGGGAGCTCGAGGGCGCTCCAAGATGTCCGCACTCAACTAGAAATGATATCCACATCGCTTGAACTGGTCCGAGACGAGCCACGACTGCACACCCCAGCGGTCGAAGCCCAAGTGTCAGCGATCACCTCCATCATGGAGGAGCTGAAGACTTTTTTTGACGTTCTTCAGGCCGAACAAGAAAAGTCCAAGATGCGTCAATTCGGCCACGCATTGAGGTCCGGTGACAAAGATGACAAGAAGCTCTCTGGGATTCTGGCTCGGCTCTCCGGTGCCAGACAAGAATTGATCGTGCGGATTTCTGTCGTCCATGTCGGGCTCACTGGGAACCTTATTGATGGATTCCAGGTCGCTCAGAGGGTCGTTATGGAGATGAACGAGAACGTAATGAGGGCGCTGGGGACGCCACTATGTCTTGCCGAGTTGTTGCAGGCGCGACAATTGGATAATGCTGAAGTCGTGACGCTCAGAGAAGAAGATATCGAAGTTCTTGGGCTGAGAGAAGACGATCAAAATGAGAGAGAGAGATACGCGGGTGCAATTGGAGACTCCAAAAACCTAAATTGGCACAGGAACAAGACTGGTGACGACGCGAAAATTATGGCTGGGAATCTCGGGTTGGATGAGTCAGAAAAGGCCACAGTCGTCAAAGCATCGGTCGATAACAGCGAGTTCGGAAGGGGCCTTGGGGTCATGGTCGGAACAGTTGGGAAGGAAGGGGCAAAGAGCTTTAACGAGAACTTTTGGAAGACGCGGTGATCATGATTTGGAAAGAGCAGCCGGCCACAAAAAAAAGCAGGTTCCACTGCACCTTCCATCAACAGGGAAACCTTCTCACTTGATTGTGAAACCACGGTGTCACAATGCACAAGTCACCCAGCATTTCAACCTCTCATCTGTCAATCTATTTCAAGGTGAAACAATGGAAGATATATAATCCAACGACATATCACGGGCTGATTACTTACCCCTGAGTTGAATGTTGTCACAGCAACGGTACATGGACCCACCCATCTCACCACCACAGCCAGAATAACCCAATTCCCGTCATACTTTCTCGGTCCAGTACACAAAGTAAGTGGCTTACGCCCAAATGATAAATGCAATCGATACTACAAATAAGCATAAATCACTCTCAAGGTCGAATAGTATAGTTGGTTACCACGTCAGTCTGGTATAACACACTGAAGATCCCAAGTTCAAGTCTGGGTTCGATCAAGGACCTACTTAGATGGACCATCACCATCCGGATGGTGATGGCTTCATCTTTTGTCTAGGATTTTCATTTGTATCACAATTTCTGTTCCTCTGTTGCCTGGAATCGCCTAGTATAGCCGAATCAAATCTCCTTCCATATAAATTTGTCTTGCCTTCCCTTCCTCGAGGATTCACTTCATGGGCATTCAACAAAAGGCGTCATTGCATTAGACACAGGCATTGATGCAATAAATATTCCATTCCTTTTAAGAAGTGCAAACCAAAAAAAGCATCCATATGCTGGCTCATCCCTTGAGCATTTCTTCCCTTTCCATTCCATTCTCAAGCTCAACTTTTGTAACCCATCTACCATCCCCCTACTCTCAAGACAAGCCCAAAGACCATCTCACCTCCCACCCAACAGCGCAAGTCTCGCAAACCCGCCCACAACAGGCGGCGCCGTTTTAGCCCCCATAGCCTCCAAACTCTCCTGCAAAACGCCATCACCACCAGTAGCCCTATACCCCTCCCCATCCTCCCGTCCCTGCTCCCCCTCAACCTGCTGCTGCTTGTCCTGCTCCCAAACAACCCCAACAGCAGTCCTACACCCCTCAACAACCTCCCCCATCAACTCCTCAATAGCCCTAGCCCGCTCCGCCATACCCCTCCTCACGAGCCCAAAAACAAGCCTCTCCACCTCCCCCTTGGTACTCTCCACCCGCTCGACCAACCTTCTCACACTATTAACAAGATACTCCTCCTCGTACACAGTCCCCTTCCTTCCCCTAGCACGCTTCTTCTCCTCCCTCTTGCGATTCTTGCTAGTCGCTCTCGACACGTTACTCGCCACAGTCCCCACAGAGCCCCCCTTGCCCGTATACCGCGTAAACAGCGAGGCGCCCACACTCATCATATTAGACGAAGCAGCAACAGAGATATCATCGGGTATATCAGCGCCATTTCCAAACCGGTTCCCAAAAGGATTTTCCCCCTCATAAAAAGCCAGCGGGTCTTCCTTTGCCTTTTTGCGCAGCTCCATAATCCTCGGGACCTGCGCCTTGAGCTGGGCTTTACAGTCCGCCAAAAACTCGGTCGAGCTCGAGAACGCATCCGTCAATCCCGCATCGACACCCTTCTCGAGCAAATCAGGTCGTGCATGTCGCGTGACGAGACGCAACGCATCGGCGAATAAATACCCCTTGCAGAGACAAGAGATGGCCGACTCGATGCTATTCAGGTAATCGGCGTGGATCGTCGCCGCAGAAGCGTACTCTTTTGCTTCGCGGAGGGCATCAGCCAGATCAGAGGCTATTTCACCGAACTGGTCGGCGTTGATCGAACCGGATTGTAATTGTTGCTGCGCAACGTAGAGGCATTCCTGCCACGAGGAAGCGCCCGCCTTGAGGTAGCAATCTGTTGCGCTGGCAAAGTTCCCCAGCGACTCGTAGGCTAGACCTGCCTCGCGGAACTGAGAGACTGAGCGGAGATGCGACGCGTAGAGGTCTGTCAGGGTCCGGTGGTGCTCGGTTTCGAGACGGTAGATTTTCAGCGCGTGCTGGTAGAGCTTGTGTTTGACGCAGTAGGAAGAGGCTTCGTCAAAGTCGCCGATTGCTCTGAGGTGGTCGAGCGCTTTTTCTCGCTTGGCCAGCTTGTCGTCTATGGTGAATTGTCGGCGGAGGACGGACATCTTGTGGAGCTCTTGGATGAAGGGGAGATATTCCCGGGGATCGCGCTGGGATTGCTGGGCTACGAGGAGCGTTAGGTCGAGGTTGTACAGACCCAGGGCGTGGTCGTAGAGCGTGTTGACGTCGGCGAGGAAGCAAATGTGCTCGACTGCGCGCTCTGCTAGCGACTCGTCTTCCTGCATGAGCTCGGCTACGACGAGGAGACCATCGTCTAGTGCGGGCGGGTTCTTGCAGACGTTGGCGGTGATGATGTTCTGGAGGTTGGCGTTCTTCTTTGTTCGTAGCTTCTGGAGGACCGCGTCGCAGATTGTGTTGATCTTTCCCGGCCTCGCACCCGAAGCTTGATTTTCGGGAGAGCCCCCGGGAAGTTGTTGACTAGGAGCAGACTTGGTATCTCGGTACATGGTCTGAGACACGTCCTCGTCCTTGAGGGTTGAGAGAAACAAATCAATGTTGGCGGCATCCTTGATTTGGTCCAGGAACAAGTCGACATTGGCGAGGAACTGCTCTGGGCGATGGTCATAGAGAATGTTCATGTCCACACGTTGCGTCCGGCACGTCGCAAAGGCCGAGCCGTAGTCCTTTTGTTCGACGAGATGTCTGATACCCGCGAGCACCATGGCACGAGGGAAGATGGTCTCGAGATTGCCGCGTGGCATCTGGAGGACGATGCTCATTCTTGTGGGCATGGCCGTCACGAGGCGCCCACCTCGCTCGATGCTTCTGCATCTCTCGTCATTCTCTGGATCATCTGCGGGCACGTCGAGTTCTGCAGCATGGTCAGTCGGTAGTTCTTGTCACACAGGCGAGGAGCATGAAAGGCTTACCATCAACACTTGCCAGGTGAACAAACTTGACAAGATGATTACTAGTAGTGAAAATGAGATGGCTGTTGGTAACCACAAACGATGTGCAGTTCTTCACCAGCTGCCGAGAGTTGGCATAAAGATGACCGTTCCTAGACAACCCAAATGCCAGGAGCTCCTCATTATACGTGACAAAGCTGCTCCAAGGAAGAAAGGCGGGAAACTTTTGAAGAGGAGTCGCTCCGTGGCTGGAAAAGCATGTCAACTTTCCGAAGCGGTCTTGGGCCACAATCCCCGCGGTCAAGCCATCATCAGAGGATGAAATCGTGGCAATTGTATCCGAGTTGACAGTCCTCGTCCACTGTTTATTTTCTTGCGAAAAGTCATAGGATAATAAGCCAAGTTCCCCGGCTCTCTGGAGCACCTGTACCTCGGTGGGCCCAGAGAAGGCAATCTGCAGCAGCACTTCTTCATAAAGCTGAAACTCCTCGAGACCAAACAAAGAAGTCTCTACCAGCCGGGGAGGCAGCAGCCGCGGGCCCTTGGACTCGAGAGCAAAGAAGCTTACACCAACTTGGTGCAGCACGGCCATTGACGAGCCATCGTGTGAGAAGGCGACGTCAATGGCCGGTGAGGGGATCTCAAGTTCTGAGAAAGCATAAGGCGGTGGGATATTGGCAGTGCGGAAAGGGGTGAATTTGATGGTGCGCCCATCAATGACTGCGACGGCACCATGGTCGTTGGTCGGGCCGGCTGGCCCCTTGGCTACCGTAAAGATGTACTCATTCAAGAGGACCTTTTCTAGATGTGGCGCATATCTTTTAGTGACCGCAAAATGAATATTTACTTAAGAATAAACTTACCAGGAGTTGAGGCAGAAAACCTGAGCGGTTTCTCAGCATGCCACGAGAACAGCGGAAGCTGACTCTGGCTCGGCTCAGTCGGGGACGGGCCACAGAGAATCTCCTGCTTCAGGTACCAATGGTAGTTACCAGTTGTCCATAGCTGTATCCTGTCCTTGAACATGACCGCAAGAACGGTCGAGTCAGAGTTCCACTCTAGCGCCAGAGTACTAGCGGCATCCGGGGCGCTCTCTGGAACCCGGAGAGTAAACTGGCCATGGCGGAGACCGTTCCTCTCGAAGAAAACGACATCGACACGGTCAGAAAGCCGCTGGATGCCAGCCATGAGATTACCCGACGGCCGCCAGCTAAGGCTGCCCTCTAAGCCATCAACTGGCTCGGTCACGCTGTCGAGTTCGCCATCGCGGTTATAAACGCGAATGACTCTCCGCACGCCCTCTTGTAACAGGTTGACAGCGACGTAGGCACCGTCGCCTCTCCAGCTGATGGTGCATCTGCCATCATCGCAGGGACTTGGCCTGCCCTCGTCCACTTTTTCTGGGATAGTCGGATCACGAAGGGCCTTGGCCTTGGCCCCCTTACCCTGGAACTGAGTCTCCTTTTTACCCCATCCCACAGAGACATGTTTTGACATCTTGAGATCATCCTCTGTTAGGACGGTCTCGGTAATGACATCAAAACTGCGGCTCATAAAAATGACCTTGGCGTCGCCTGTGGCGATGACCAGGAGCTCTTCATCAGGAGACCATCGAGCAGCCACGATAGACGGGCTCAGTGTGCCTACAATCTCGACGCGTGCCTCAACACCGTCATCATCGTCTTCCCTGACAGTCACAATATCACCACCAGCCATAATGACACATGATGTGAGGCTATCACTAAAGTGATGGAGGCTCAGGATGGCATCTGCATCTCCATCTTCCTTTACGTTTGGCGCGTCCCATGAGGCAATGACCCTCGGATTTCTGTGAAGCGCGAAACATGTTTTAGAACTCTGAGCAGTCACAAATGTGCGTGCGTAGGCAACTTGTCAATCAAGGAAGGGAAAGGTGAGAATGGGTCTTACAAGGAAACTCTAACAAGCTCGATCCTCGCTTCATCGGCAGTCGGGCCATATGCCACTATGGGTTCGTCTCTAGCAACGTCCCAACATGACGCCGTGATGGGCGTGGCTGACGACGGGTCCGGCACAAAAGTGCTCTGCCCTATATTTCTTAGGTTCCGCATCTTGTTCAGGGGGGTAGGGGAGACGGTCTTGGTTCTAGCCTAGTTCACTCGAATGATAAGCTTCTCATCTATCAGTTCACACACAAAATATCTGACTGTTTTCTTTGGCTCGTGGGCTGAAAACTTGTCCAGGATATTGATGTCCCTCGGGGACTTCCGGTCGTATCTCACAAAAAGATGTAACCGTAAAATGTGATTTTGTACTAAAAAGAGGGTCCAATGGAGTGTGTGATGAGACTAATCAAGTCAAAAAAAGAGTGGCAAAGTGAAGGGAAAAACTAGAGAGAATCCCTTACGCAAGCGCCCCTGCTTAGTCTGTGGTAGTGTGCACTATGCAGTACTTTTTTGTGCTTCCAGAACGTCTAGACTGGACGAGCAGTTACCTTGCACATGTAACTCGGTTTTCGCAAGTGCAACTTCTCGGGTTTGACGGCGTGAGT